GTAAATGGCAAGTGGTTAAACTAATACAATTAGTCTTATTCTGACCAAAGTGCAACACGATTTTTCTATAGGTGTGGAAAAGGTACAAGGGGCATTTAATGATGCAGTAACAAATTATATACAGAGTGCAGAGATGCATTAAAATGACAGTGTACAGCAAAGGTCAAACCTCAAATGTGTCACATATTTCTTCTCAACTAAAATGCTGAGAGATGAAAAAAGGAGCGCATAATTGCTGGAATTCTGGAGTCAACAAATGTTGCGTAATTGCCCAATTACGGATTCTATAATTATTTCTCAAACGTATTCCAATTAAACAATAGAAATGATGACAGCCCACTAGCATTAGCAGAATTTTTTTACATCTATGGCCAGTTTATAAGGAAGAAGGCAGCCAGATAGCAGCAAATCAGTATGAATCATCATGCAGCAATCATGAAGAATACAAGAAGAGTATTTAGTAGATACTGCAGTTTAAAAAAAGAACTAAAGCCAAATGCTTTTGGGGGGGGGGGGGGGTTTGGTCCCCTTTTGGGTCAAAGGTGTACATTTACTAATGTACCCTTGCGACCCACAGTCAGTATCTAGCGGACTACTACCCACTATTGGTTGACAGTGAAGAGCCGTGCTGCAGCTGGGAAAGATCCCAACAATATTATCGGGATCCTCCCCAATGCCTGATTAACAGCTGCTTCTTTAGAGCCAGAACCAGCTGTACCCACCCCCAGAGGGGAGGTAGGAATCCCTGCGGGGAGCGGTGACTGGCAGTCATTGCTCTCTGCAGGGAGAAACCCATGAGCTGAACGATCAGCAGTTCATGATCGTTCAGCTCTCAAACTATAGAGCCAGCACATGACACCTGCAGTGTCACACGCCACCTCTAAGTATTGGGAAGGGTATACTTTAACCTCCCTGGTGGTATTCCAGAGTGTGGCTCGGGGTTAATTTTCAGTACCAAAAGCGGTAACCCCGAGCCACACTCGGGATTATGCTGTGCGTCACTTACCTGGTCCCTACGAGCCACCGCTGTGTCCTCCGGGCAATGCCGGCATCCGTCCGGGTTCCTTCCCTTGCGAGCGCCTGCGGTGCAGGGGGGCGGAACCGGCGGGAAAATTTTAAAGCAAAAAAAAAGGAGAAAAAAATACTGAGGTAAATCAGAACGCCAGGGAGATTAACAATCTGGTAATATCCTATACTTCTCCTGCCGCTATGCCTTCAGTGCCTGGTCTACCAGGTCACACAGTGTTTGCTCCAGGATTAGGTTACTATCTGCCAGGCATACAAGCTGCACCACAGCTCAGCAGCATTTAGTCTGGGGCGCTGTATATGCTCTGGAGTGCATGGTGACATGTGGTGGCAGCTCCGAAGGTGTTCCCCATGCTGCTTCCATCCCAGCCACCAGAAGACAGACCTAGTGTGACATGAAGGATGTGTAGCATACCCACGTCTGTGGTCATGTCTACCTTGCCACTGACACGGTGGTCCAGTGACGTAGACACATTGGAGGGGAATTTATCAAATCTGGACCAGTTGTCCATGGCAATCAGAAAGCTTCTCCCTCTCATTTTCAAAGCTTAACTGAACGATCTAAAGAGAAGCTGATTGGTTAATGGTTAATGTGCTCAGCTGCTCCAGTTTTCTCCCCATTCTATGCCACATGCTGGCAGAGGGCAGGGACGGCCAACTAGGTAAATAATGAGATCACACAAAAATAAATTATAGACCAGCATGTCAAAAAAGGTAGAAGGCTAGAAGACCTCCTCCAAGCAGTTTTTGACTATAGTTACAGATATTAGTAAGAAGCTTAAAGTCCATGGAAGTGTAGCCAACCTCCTTGTACATGATTACAAGAGGTAAACTTTAAAAAGAGATACCAGATCACCATCAGCCACTTTGAGTGACATTGGCCTCAATAAGACTTCACTGTTTAAAAGAAAAAAACGAAAGTAAGACTGACATTTGCTGAAATGCATATTGACAGGCTACAATATTTCTTAGTGTTAAGGAGCCAAGAAACCAAACTGAAACTTAAACTGCAGGTTTAAAATATAAAAAAGGAGTTTATTGAAAATAAAACATACATGCAAAAACAATAGAGAACGTCCAGGACATTGTCAATGCCAAGCCAGGGGTCAGAGGCCACAGTGGGTAGTATGCCAAACCACAGGGAACAGCGAGAGCAGGATGTATGGAAACAAAGCCTGAGTCAGGAACCAGGAGATTAGTCAGCCAGAGTCATACAGGGAAATCAGGAACAGAAGATCACTTGGTTGATTAGAACAAGCGCAAGGGCGGAGACTAAATAGACAAGGTGAAGGTTAAATAGTAAACTATTGCTTGCATCATCACTCTGAGACAGGAATTTGCCAGGGCAGCAAAGTGATGTGTGCGGGTTTGGACATAAGAGGGCACCAAAAAGGAGCAACGGTGTCAAACACTACAGCCATGCTGCAAGCAACTGGACAAGGAAGGGTAAGGAACCCTGACATTTGGACAACAGTCAGAAATTGAGCTTTCTGGCACGTTACATCAGCTGTTTACATGTGAAAGAAAAAATTAGGATTTCAAAAGAAAACAAAAAACACGAACACCGTACCTACGTGAAACACGGAGGGGGCTCAGTTATGTTTTGGGGCTGCTTTGCTGCGTCTAGCATGGGGTGCCTCACTTTGAAGCAACTTTTAAATTGAAACATACTGCCGATTGTCAGAAAGTCCACCAACAAGATTATGACCCAAAAAACACCCAGCAAAAAGCATCTATGAATGGCTGAAAACAAAACATTGGACCATTTTCAGCTATTGAAGAGAGAGAAAGAGAGAGAAAGAGAGAGAAAGAGAGAGAAAGAGAGAGAGAGAGAGAGAGAGAGAGAGAGAAAGAGAAAGAGAAAGAGAAAGAGAGAGAGAAAGAGAAAGAGAGAGAGAAAGAGAGAGAAAGAAAGAGAGAGAGAGAGAAAGAGAAAGAGAGAAAGAAAGAGAGAGAGAGAGAGAGAAAGAGAGAGAGAGAAAGAGAGAGAGAAGGATTAGCCAATAAGACTTTGCACCCAAGCAAAAGGAACAGCTACAAAAAAAAAAAAAAAAAACCCAAATTTGTGTCAAATCTTAAAGCTTTCCAACTACAAACACTAAGGCTGCCCATACACCTTGCGATCATCAGACAACACTTTTGTACAGCGGCGTTCTGTATTGCACAGCAAGGACAAGGAGGAGGGGCGTAACTAGAAATCGCATGGCCCCATAGCAAAATTTTGTATGGGGCCCTTTATTTCTAGTTATGCCCCTTGCAGAGCCCGCCTGAGATCCCACACAGCCCACCTGAGAGTGACCCTGCAGAGCCCACCATAGAATCTCTATGGTGGGGTCTGCATGGTCTCAGGTGGGCTGCACACCTCTTACCTGTCAGTGCTGTCCACCTCCGTGGTCGCCGGGCCCCCGCCTCCTCTACCTGAACATGTAATAGGGCAGATCCATCACTACCCAGTGCTTTGTCTCTTCTGTTCTTTTAATCACTCACTTTTTTTTTTTTTTTTTTTAAATAAGCATCTGTCAACAAATGAGAAGGAAGAAAATTGGAGAGGATTGGGAGGACTGTACTGTTCAGTGATGATATTTGCCCTCTATGCCACTGTAGGAGTACAATGGCATGCTAAGTGGGAATTGTAGAATGCCCATGTTCTCTGGTCAATTCAGCCAGCAGAGTTGAAGCCAAGAGGTCATAGAGAATCCCCAGTCCTGCATTGTTCCTGCACAGCAGGTAGACTGGAAAGGCAACAAGACACAACAGGGTCTATTTATAAACAATTTGCCCAGCCATTTGCCCTGCAAATCTCTGAACAGTCGTTCTGTGGAAATAGAGGCATAAAAACAAACATTCCTATACTTTCTCTTCAATGTAACATTCAGAAAATATCACATCATTGCCATTAGATGGAACCCGAGGAGCATGGGAAAGAAGCATTTCTTTTTTATGCTCCTCTGCTCCATCTAGTTGTCATAATGCAGTATTTATCTAATGTTACCATTGGCCTGAAAAGAAAATATACAGTGGCTTGCCAAAAAAAAAAGCCACCACCTGGATTTCGGGTAATGGTATGATCTGGTGTTGTGTCAGTTAGTCATGTCTAGGTTCAGCAACATTATGTTCCCAAAAAATGGTCAGCTGCCTACCCGAATATACTCAATGACCAGGTTTTACCAACAATAGATTTTTCCTTCCCTGATGGCACATTGGGCATGTTCCAAGATGACAATGCCAGGATCCATCGGGCTCAGATTGTGAAAGAGTGGTTCAGGGAGCATGAGACATCATTATCATACATGGATTGGCCACCACAGAGTACAGACCTTAACCCCCGTTGAGGATCTTTGCAATGTGCTGGGAGAAGACTTTACACAGAGGTCCGACTCTCCCATCACAAGATCTTGGTGAAAAATGAATACAATGCAGGATGGAAATAAATGTTGTGACATTGCATAAGTGAAACAATGCCGAAGTGAATGCGTGCCGTAATGAAATCTAAAGATGGATGAACGAATATAAGTTGTTTGTGACTTTTTTTTTTTTAGCCAAGCAGTGTACGAAGGATAATGATTTTTACCTCTATTTGCACAGACTAAACAGAGATTCACCGGACGAATTGCTGCGATTTATAAATAGACCTTATAATTTTGCAAGTGTGCAAGGATATACTATGTTTAACTTGCAATTTCAGAAAAAAAAAACCTCTAGTTCTGCTCTAAAGTAAGAATTGCACACCTTTGCATTTTTCCCCAAGTTCTAGTTCAGGGTTGACCAGTGGATGCAGACATCCGCAGTGGTGTAGCTAAATATCAAGCTGCATAAGATGAATGACAGGAGGAAAAGTAGGAGTTTCCATGTACCCTGAATAGAGTTTAAATTACATTTATTGGAGGATTGACCGTAGCATTAAAAAAAGTTATATGAACAATAATTGACATCATGACTGCTTTTAGATGAACTGTGTTATTTACATCACTGACCTTTGAGTCTTCCTCCTCTTCATCTATGTGCGGTAAAGAGGATAACTTTGGCTCTATAGTCTTTAAACTGCCGTTCTGTACTTTGTCTATAGAGCCGTATGCACTTAACCCATCGTGCGTCAAGAAGGGCCTGGTCTCAGTGTCTGATTTGGCTTCCTTTTCTAGGGGAACCTCAGGGATGCTGAAGAGATGTACGACGAGAAACACCAAGAAGACTGAAGCTGCAAAGAAGTACATGACTTGGAATTCCGAGCCCATCAGCCTTCCAAGAATGGTAGAGCCCCAGTCAATGGCTCCCGTTAGATATCCCAGAGCTCCTCCAAGTCCTGAATGAGAAACACAACATGTGCAGATTATCACTTTTGTATCATATTCTTTGTATTATATGAAAAATATTTTTTTAATGTGTTTGATGATTTTAATAACATTTCACCTCTAGCCATTTTTTTGGGGGGATAGAGAGAGTTTGGAATAGTTGGCAGATTTTTATTATTTCTATTCCTTTGGAAGATATTTTTTCTAACTCACCCACTCGACTAAAAATGTGACCCCATTGGAAGGAATACTCGTCATTTCCTGTCCTGACATAAATCTCCTCATTAAGGGCAGAGATGGCAATAAAAACCTGGCAATGGCTCATACCCTTCCCCGCTCTATCCAAAATAAGTAGGTAGTTCCATTTGTAAAAGGATTTCATTATAATGCACTGTAGTAATGTCTCACTTCGTGCCTTTTTCTACACAAAAGGCTTGACTAGATCTCAGTAAAGTAAAAGTAAAAAAGAAAAAACAACATGCACAATCCGCAGAGGGGGGAGGGGGGGGATAGGTTAAATAATTACTTCACAAAAGTACAGTATTGCTTTAAGCACCCCTGTGTAAGCTCAAGTTAAATTTCCAAAGCTATCCGTCTCCCCATCCTCATGGGACAGCACTGGCCCAATCACCATTACCGTCACATGGCTAGGGTAAACTATGTGATGCTTAGAGAGTTAAAGAAAAAAAAAAAAAAAAAAAAAAAAAAATAAG